AATTAAGGTTACTCGTATGCATAAAAAGTCTCCCTGAAAGGGTGTGGTTTCCATCAGTCTGATCTTGCCCATCGCTTGCACTGGGGTCTTTGTGGTTCTAGTTCAGTGTGCTGGGGATCTTTCCTCCCCACATGCCTTTGCTCAAAAGGCCAGGCCCTTGTTCTGTCAGAGGAGGGAGTGGCAGAGGCAGGTCAGACAGTTGTGAGTTAGACAGGAGTTGGGTGAGATGGCATTGAGGTTTGTGATTGGTGTTTGTAGACTTCAGAATGGAGAGCTCAGGGCTCATCCCACAGCCAGTTTCAGCACAATGGGCAGCTGTCGACCTAGCCTGGGTTCCGTGGAGATGATCTGGGCCTGCTGGAGCCCTGGGCAAGTTGGTGACTGTTATCAACTGCTCCTTGGAAACCCTAGACAGGGTCGCTATGAGTCGGAACCAACTCGATGGCACTTAACACCTGCCAACGCTGTGTTTGCAGAGCAGGCTCTAACAACACAATCACAATCTTTGCCTCCCTGATTCTTTGGGTGTCTCAGTTGCCAGAGCTCACAGAGCACAGTGCATTTTCTTGGGGAACATCTGTTTCTGTCCTGATGTGTACATGTGGCTCTGGCCAGGACTGGTCAGTGGTCTGTTTTCCTTTCCTCAGAGCAGAAGGACTGCATTTTGCTGATCAGGAGAAGGTACAGATCTAACGGAGTTTATAAAAGGCAGCATGTAATTGGCAGGCCAGGTATCTGGTTCCAGGTTCTATCCAGGCTTGTGCTTGCTCCCTCCTACCACCTCTCCCCTCCCTGTCTGAATTTTTCATACAGCCTAGTACAGTGCAAACAAGGATGTGACTTACTCAGCTTGATCATATGATTTCTAAACACAAACAAACAAAAAACCCCACAGAACGATGATCTCTTCTCAGGGTAAAGCAAACAAAAAATTCCCTTTCCACCAAAAAGCCTGAAATGTTGCAATAAGTTATTTCATTTGGAATGTTTCATTTCATTAAGTTGTGTTATTGGGGGAGGGGGAGATGTTTCAGGGTTTTTTTTTGTTGGTGTGTGTGTGTGTGTATATGTGTATAGATTTATATCCATCTGTCTGCCTCTTAAAATGAAACATAAAATACACTCCACACTAGAATGGGAGGCCTCCCTCAAGAGGCTACAGTAACATAGTCAAGAGTGTTTCCACAAAGAACCCCTGTGCTCACCTAGCTCACCTTCTGGAATAGGCCTCTGCCTCCCTAGAGCCCTCTCCCTGCTTGAGCAGGGACAGGGTTCCACAGACAGACAGAAAGCAATCATTACTTTGCCTTCCTTTCCCACTCTTTAAAGACACCTGCCTTGTCACTCTCTGATCCTCTGAGCCCTCACTCAGGGACTGCCAGGGCAGTATCCAGAGCAGACCATGTACCTTGGAACCCTAGGCCCTGCCTTTAGCCAGGATATCGAAGGATGGACTTGGGCAAGATGGCTATGGACTAAATGTTGTTACTGCCACGAGGAGAAATGGGCTTTACCACAAGCGCCAGATTCTCAGTCCAGCAATCCAGCCAGACAGTTGGATTCTTTTTGACTTTCTGTACTCCCCTCCTGGTGACCTTAGCAGTTGAGAAGGCAGGAGGAATCATGGGCTACTACAGGAGGCTAATCCTCCTGGCTGCTGAGCTTAGCCTGAGGCAGGGCCCTCGCTGTTTTCTGTACAGCTGCTGAAAGGGAACAGTGGGTAGGATGCCCAAGTCAGCCCTCTGGTTCCCTGGGATTCTGGTTCCTTGGGAGCTGAGGTGGGGCAGTGGGAGCCCAGAAGAGGTTATTTGAAGCTGCCCATGGTTTCAATATTGCTGCTTCTTGGTTAGCCAGAGTGGTGCCATGTTGGGCCCCCACCCAGGTCAGAGGTCTTTTCGCTCTTAAAAGACTAGGGGTGATGAAGAAGCTTCTTGAAATAGTGTTTTTAACTAGTTGCAGAAATGGAAGTGTCTACCTTTAGATTAGAAGGGGTGGCAGACCATTAGATCCAGTCAGCTTTTGAAAAATAAGGAATGTGCTTCAATTGGTAGTGAGGAGCAGGTTTTTCCGTAGGGTAAGCAGTCTTTCCTTCCATCCTCTTCCGGCTCTTGCCCCCATCCCCTCTCCCCCCTTCTGCAAGCCTGGCCTCTGGTGCCAAGGACCTTGTCAAAGAGAGGTCCCCTGGCTAAGCAGGAGCCAGAAAGAGCCTTCCTGGGCAGTGTCCACAGACACTGATAAGATCAAGCCTCTTCAAAAATTTCTCCATGGTAACCTTAACCTCTTTCACCCAGCTCTCACTAGCATCTCTGGTTAGAGACCGCCCCCTTTAAAGGGTGCTCCCCAGCACCAGGGGTTGAAGTTCACAGGCTTAGGAAGTGGTAAGGAAACTCTGGTGGACACTGCCAAAGCTGCCTTAGTGAGTGGCCTTTCCCAGGTGACAGACAAATGGGGCATTGAGGGAAAAGGGGCCTGGTCTTTTCTTGGTGGGGTCTTGCTTCCTCACAGCCAGTCTCTTGGGGGTGTCACTGGTTTGGTGGCAGGCATTGGGGTCACTTAATGAATTTCACCCTGCTTTTAAAGGAAATCATGGTACAGAGTCCAGGAAGGGTTTGATGATGTGAAGACCTCTCTGGGTAGAAGATAAGGGACTCTCTTCACATACATACATCCCACCCCTACCCCTACCCCCACCCCCAGAGAGTTAGTAGATAGATAGGAGAGTTTTGTTTTCAGGGTCAAGGCAGTGGATGGATGGGGATAATGAAGGGGTGGGTTTTCCTGAGAGATTTTGTATAATGCTGAATGTGTCCAGAGGGACAAGTTTGCAGAACCTCATGTTGGTGTATTAAAGAAATAATAAAATTTAAAAGCACTTTAGGTTATTTTATCTTTAACCCAATTGCTGCAATTTCTTTTGTGTATATATACATATACATACATTTATATATATATATATATACTTTCCACAAAGTTTTATTTTTTGCTCAGAATAAAAAGTAAAATTGAGGTGTGAAAAGAAAAGCACTTACCTCGGTGCAATATGTGTAGCTTGAGGGTTGTTGTCCCAGGTGGCCCTGGTCTGGCCACAGGTTTAACGCTTGATCAGCCTTGTACTCTGAGGCTGTTTATAGGGAAACACTATTATGCATTCTCTGAAACTGCTCAATCTATGCAAGCCTTTCCCCTGTCTTCCTCCTCCTGCCCCCCCACCCCCCATACCCCCTCAGTCTCTGAAGAACTGCTGCAGGTCCTGTTTTCTTGGGTGACTATTGAGGCCCTTTTCATCTTTCTTGGTCCCCTGCCATCTTTCCCCTCTTCACCATAACCAAGTGATGCCTGAGAGAAAGGCACAGGGCAGAACTCTGGCACCTTTGAGACGTTTGTATTTATCATCATGATCATTGTCCTTGTTCTCAGACTCTCTGAAACCATTGATTTGTACAAGTGCAACAATACTGCTGAAGAGTTTACAATTTTTCTACATCACCAATCAGAAATATGTTTGGGGAGATGCTGGCTGGCTGGGGTGAGGTGGGGCACGTGAGCCATATGCATACTGCTTCCATACTGCCTGTTGACTCTTTAAATAGAAAGTCTTCAAATCCAAAAAGCAAAGCTGTTAGTAATCCGATATATCAACTTTCGCCTTTCTTCCCTTCCCTCCTAACCTCCCCCTTTTTATCTTTCATTCTCAGGCTAATAGAGGGAAGTTTAAAAATATACTTTAGCCAATGTTATGCAAATAATTCTGTCATAATATAGATAGGAACTTGTCCATTTCTTAATAATTGAGGTTGGGAGGGGGGAGATAGCAAAACTGAATCATGCATATTTCTGATTGGTCAGCATAGCCTGTTACCTCTTGTGGATTTTTGCAGGGGCCTGGGGGGACAGCAGAGAAGGAAAGGGTCCTGTTTCTTGTCATCCCCTTTGGGGAAGCTGATGATTGGTCTGGACATTTCTGTTTCTCCTGTTCAAGAGAGGGCTTCTCAGTCTGCACTGAAAAATGCAAATCAAACTGGATCTTTATGTCAATGTGTACATAGTACAAGCCTTTTTTACTGGAAGTGTGGTTTAAAACAACGCACTGCTCTTTTTGGTAGTGTGCTTGCTGGGCCAAAAATCGGGTGATAATGTAGTGTCACTTTCTCAGCTCAATGCAGTTTCTACTCTTTTTCTTATGGGAAATTTTTTCATAAACCCTTTTTTCACCAAAATCCAGGGGTGTTTTTTGCAGTATCCTTAATAGTGGTGCCAACCCAGTGGCCTCTCTTGCCCCTTCTCTTGTATTCTCAGGCCTCCGGAGGGTTTGGTTTGACGCAACAATATACATCCTTTGTTGTGTGTGAGGCTGTGCTGTGAGTAGGGGCCAGGGGTCCAGGGTGGTTATTCCTTTTCCCTGTCAACTCTTCCTCATCCCGGTTTGGGGAAGGTGGCTGGGAAGAGATCTTTGCTGAGTCTCTGATCCTCTAGCCAGGAAAGGCAAGAGCCCCCAAAGCCCTCTCTTTTGACACACACTCGACATTGGCCTATGGTCTAGGTGAGTTTTTTAAATCCCAGATAGTTTTATTTGGATTATGTAATAGTCTATCAAATTTATTTAAGTGTGAAACATGGGAACAACGGACTTCCACTGAGCGATATGAAAACGTTACAGGTTCAGTACTTCCAAAGGAAGAAACCTCCAAACCCAAAAAAAAGAGTAAATATGAATTTGTATTTTTGAAGAATGTGAAATAATGGTGTTTGCTTAATTGCTCATTTTGTATAAACTTAATATTGTACTTTAAAATATCTGCTAAGAAGTGAAAATTTAACTTTTTGGAATTGAAAAAGCAATATGAAATACTAATGAAATCCTAATTAAATGCTTATTTAAATCTGGTAGTATCTGTGACATTCCTTCCCGGCCCTGTCTATGGTTGGCAGTTGTCAACCACTACCCCCTCCCCAGCCATCAGTCTTGGAGAGGGGACAGAAAGGAAAAGGTCGGTCACCAAGAAAGTCTGCAGGTCTCTTTTTAATCAAGGCTCTGCTGAAGGTGTGTTGTAGGGCTAGAAGCCCCCAAAACATGAAATGGACACGAAACACCACCTAGATCCCCCAAAGAAGACCAGATCACCCTGGCCAGCACTGCTAGTCTGCCCAAAGTCGGGTAGTCAGACAGGGTATTGGTTGGCTACATTTTCAAAGCACAGCACCCGCCTTCAGCCAGGATGAAGTGGGAGTGAACCCAGCAGCTAGCAGAGCTCTCTTTGCCACCCAAGGCTGAGAGCCAAGTAACAGCCACTGCCAGTGAAGACTGGCCCCTTTATTGAAGGGACGTGTTCAGAGTCCAGCCACCAGCCCCGGGGAGGCAGAGAAGTTCAGGATGCCTGGCTCTGGGATGGTCAGGGTTCGGCAGCTCCATCAGCAGCATCCTTTGGAAAGCCACCTCTGGCGGAGACAGCTGGTTGGGAAGGTGCTCCGGGTTTGGCTGAGACATTCTGGTTGGAACAGAAAGGAAGAACGTGAGGTTAGGAGGAAAGGCCTTGGATTAGGCCCTTTAAGGATATGGCCACTTGGCATTTGGATAGCACTTAACTTTTTCACAGCCTCTCACTCGCCCTGATAAAAGGAGGTTGGAGGTTAAGGTTGTAGAGACACTCTTCTACCCTCCAGGGAGAGCGTAGGGTTTAGCAAGTCCAGCCAGTCGGCAGACCCCACCCCTCAGGCCCTGCCCTGGGAGGGCACTGACCCCACCACCAGCCGGCTCCGGGCGCCGGCGGCCCAGCTGCCGCAACATCTCCTCACAAGCAGCAATGGTGTCCAGGAGTTGCCGCTGCCGCTGCTCCACCGCGTCCAGCAGCTGCTGGGCGCGCTCATCCCGGGGCGGCTGCGGGGTTGGCCTCCCGCCGAGCCCCAGCCCCACCTTCCCGCGGTCCACGCCGGCAGCCTCCCTAGCCCGGAGAGAGGTAGAGACAGTCAGGGCCCGTGCTTGCGCGGGGTCCGTGCCCCTTTCCCCCGCCCCGACGGGCCCCCTCTCACCCCCGTGGCCAGTCTGAGCCCGGGCCCCATTCCATCTCCGCCTGCGCGGCCCGACCACCGCCCCCCTTTCGGCCGCCCCCCTCCCCAGCGCTGCGCTAAGGCTTCGCCAAGCTGCGCCCCGCCCCGTCCCCACCGGTCTCCTTCAATCCTCCTGGGGGTCGCGGTCCCTTTAAGGTGCCCGGCGCGGAGGTGGGGCCGAGCCGTCCGAGCCGGAAGTTCACTGGCCGCGTCACTTCCTCCCGGAAGCAGGCCCCGGCGGATGTCTCCGGCGCGTCCGTGCAGGGGGCTGAGGGCCGCCGTGGCTGCCAGCTTGGGGTTGAGTGAGGGGCCGGCGGGCTCCTCCCGGAGCGGCCGCCTCTTTCGCCCGCCGAGCACCTCTCCGGTTACGCCGGGGGCCCGGCTGCTGCGGCTCCCAGGGAGTGGGGCCGTGCGGTCTGAGAGCCCCGAGCGCGCCGGCTGGACGGAGGCGCTGCGGGCCGCCGTGGCCGAGCTACGCGCCGGCGCCGTGGTGGCCGTCCCCACCGACACGCTGTATGGCCTGGCCTGCTCGGCGAGCTGTTCGGCGGCACTGGAAGATGTGTACCGTCTCAAGGGCCGCAGCGAGACCAAGCCGCTGGCCGTATGCCTGGGCCGCGTGGCCGACGTCTACAGGTGAGGCCGCCCGGCCCCGGCCCCGCTGGGGGCGGCACCGCGGGAGGGGCTTCCGGTGACAGGCTTGGGAGACTGAGGCGCAGAGAGCGGGAGGGGCTTGTTTGTCCCAGCTCCGCCAGGAATCCGGAACTGGAACTATGTATCGAGCATATCGCCAAAACCAGGCCCTGAACTAGGTGCTGGGCCGCAGCGTTCCCCTTTCTCTTGGTGGTTTCTGCTGACGAGAAGAGCCTCTTAATTAAAAAAAAGGAAACAAAATACGGACGTAACTGAGTGGGAGTGTTTGGAAGAGATTACGACATGGAGTGATGTACGGCTGCTGTGGCCCTTGTGGTTGCCAAGCTTAGGGTGCTCCTCTGCTCCTGCTCAGCTTCTCAGGGAGGTGACGCTGGGATGGGAGACAGACGGATCCCATTGCAGGCCTCGAGACCCCTTTCTCCATCTGCCTGGAGTCTAGAGACGGACCGAACGGCAGTCTATTCTTGATGGGAGTTACACGTGTCTTGTTGCTCAGGTTCTGCCATGTGAGAGTCCCCGAGGGGCTCCTGCAAGATCTTTTGCCTGGACCAGTGACCCTGGTGATGGAGCGCTCGGAGGAACTCCACAAGGACCTGAACCCGTTCACGCCTGTGAGTTGGGTTTTCTGTTGTGCCCTCTGGCCGCTGCGCCTCACTGGGATTCAGGCCAGCTCCATTCCCACCCCTTCCATCCTTTCTCATGGCCCCCTTTCCTTTTGCCTCATAGCTTGTAGGCATCCGGATCCCCGACCATGCCTTCATGCAAGACTTGGCCCAGGTGTTTGGAGGACCTCTTGCACTCACCAGTGCCAACCTCAGCTCCCAGGCCAGTTCTCTGAATGTCGAGGTGAGAGCTACCCAAACGCACTTTCTTAAGCATTGGAATTGCCTAGCGGGGAGAGTTGCCCTTTGGGTCCAATGGTGGGAAGTCTGCCCAGTTGGCAGTGGGTAGAGGTTAGGGGTATCCAGATTAAAGAACCTTAGAATGGCTTGAATACACTGTTTTAAGAGTCCAAGGGGAGAATTGGTGTTTCCTTTTTGTCTAATGTACCTGGGTGGGGCAGCTGGTTAAGATGCTAGAGGGTAGATGTTCGAGTTTTACCTTGGGAGAAAAGCTTGGTAATGTCCTTAGAACAAGCAGCCATTGAAAAGCCCATGGAGCACAGCTCTTCTCTCATACACATCAGGAAGCCACGACTCCCTGGCAACTTTTGTGTTATTTTAAATATGTCTTTTTACTGATAGGAAAAATAATGATGAGTAATGGTTTTCCATCTCTTTTGTGGGTATGGTTGTTGTTAAACGTAGAGTTAGACTACAACTGTTTTAACAAGGCTGTGAACAATTTGAAGCATTTCAGGTTCTGGGACCTTAAATCATTTATTCCAGGTCATACAGCCACTACAAGGCAAACCCAGATCTTTACTCAGTTTGTGATTTGTGTCTTCATTCTCTCATGGCTGCCACACACACCTTAATTTTGTTTTGGACGCATAGCTTAGAATACACAACACGAGAGTTTAGTTTTATCTTTCTTAACAAATGTAAAAGTAGAACAGTCACAAGAATGGGGCTTTCCATGCCCACACCCAGAGAGTGGTTTCAGGGGCCTTGGAAAGGGAATGCTCTTCTTAGTCTGCCCCTTCTTATTCTGCAGACATTAGAATTTCCTTGGTCCTGATGGTTGTGTCCAAGGTAGTGGGGTGTCCAGTTAGGGAAGGTTCTCATCTTTTCAGCCCACAGTAACTACTATTTTATCACCACCACCACCACCCCTGCCCCAGTCCTGAAGTCCTAGTATGGTGCTTGCCATATGATAAACCACTGGACCACAAGGTCAGCATTTCAAACTCACCAGCTGCTCTTGGGAAACCCTATACGGGAACACTATGAGTCGGACCTGACTCCACGCCACTTACCAACACAGCAACAATCCCAGTTCTAATGTGGCGCTGTAGGATAAGCGCTGGACTGCTAACCGCAAAGTTGGCAATTCACATCCACTAGAGACAACTTAATGGCCCTTAACAACAGCATCCCAGATTCCCAGACCTACCTACCACTGCTATCAGTGTCTTCATTATGGGATAGAATGAGGGCTCCAGTGCAGTGAAAAAAAACTCAGCCCACGGTCTGGTTGGGAATATCCTTCGCATAGCCCCAAGGATTGTGGGTTGATGGCAGGCATTTGCAGAGTATACCTTGTTTTCTTCCCCACCCAATCCAGAAGGACTCTTGGTGATCATCTAGCCTAGTCCTCTGTAGATGGATTGAAGCTAACTTCACGCAAGGTCACACCAATTTGGCTGAAAGTTCAGGGTTAGAACCACACATCTTTACACCTCCTCAACTGAAACAATGTGTGACTTACAGAATTAGCCCATGGGGTTTCTAAGCTTTAATCGTTACAAAAGCAGATTGCTTAGTCTTTCTCCCAGAGAGCACTGGGTGGGTTCAGTCGGCCAACCTTTTGGATAACAGCCATTGCGCCCCCAGGGCTCCTTTAGGCTCTGGATAGGTGGTGTTTGGGGCTTTCCCCAGGGCCTCCAAATCTTGTACGCAGTGCCTGGGGTGCTGCTGCAGTGTTCTGAACCCTGAATAAATGAGTTTCTATCTCTCTGCTTAGAGGAAGACGCCTCCTGTCTGCAAACTGCATAGACTTTGTCTTAGAAACCCTGCGTGCAGTATGACATTGCAGGTGCCAGGGGTTATATCCAAGCTCCACCTTTATTCCTTCTCAGGAATTCCAAGACCTTTGGCCTCATTTATCCCTGGTCATTGATGGGGGGCCACTTGGAGATGGCCAAAGCCCTGCGTATCGCCTTGGTTCAACTGTAGTCGACTTGTCTGTACCTGGAAAGTTTGGCATCATTCGTCCAGGCTGGTGAGTCTCTTCCCTGTGCATGGGAGTAGAAAACAAACCTTGGCTGAATGAAGCTGGTCGCTCCTATCAAGCCCTGAGGGCGACAGGCAGGTTCAGAGAAGTGGTGGGTGCACTGGGACTAAGTTTGATGGGTTCTACCAGCTTTTTTGGAGTCCTGGTTAATGCGCAGGACTGCAAGGTTGGTTTGCACTTCAAGGTTGGTGGTTCAAGCTCACTAGCCGCTCCTTGGAAATCCTTTACAGGGTTGCTGTGGGTGGGAACTGACTCGATGGCACTTAATAAGCACCTTTTTCAGGATAAGGAAAGCGTCCCTGAGGGTTTGATGAACAGAGCTATGTCAGACCAGTGAGTTTAGAGCCCCCCCTGCTCACCACCCTTCCTACTCATCACTCACTTTCTTCCATTTCTTCCTCAGTGCCCTGGACAATACTGTGGACATCCTTCAACAGAAATACGGACTGCTTCCCTCAGATGGACCCTGCTCCTGAGACTTGGGAGGTGGGAGGGAGGCCCACAGATGGGTGTGGAGGCCCACAAATGTATGTCTGTCCACTGGTGGTTGGCAGGACCTCATTTGCAGAGGTTGCTGGGACTACTTCATTAGCCTGACCCTTCAAGCAGTGCTTGTCTTTTTGGAGACGAGACCCCAGAAGTGACTGGGTTAGCTTCACACCTGGGAAGACAGTTGTCTTTATTATCTTTAATTTCATATTGCAGTCAAAAATTAAGATTGAGAATATAGGAAGGCCTCGTTCTGATGTTTTTCTCTTTTAAGATTTACAGTCTGGTGAGAGCCGTCTCCTTGGTGGGTGGTGTTTTAAGGCCTGAGCCAACTAGAGGTGGTGCTGTTTACAAGTGTCAAGTGACCAAAGACATAGATTTGGGTTCCTGAAGGTGGAACCAGGTTAAGATAAAGGTGCAGAGACCAGGCCAGACACCATTATCTCTAAACCAGGGGCCTGCTGGTACACTGTGATTTGCCTTCCAGGGAGGGGCAAATGGTGGGAAGTCTTTTCAGTTGGCAGGAGTAGAGGTGGAAGAGGTCCAAATGAAAGAATATTAGAAAATAAATTTCTGCCATCTTTTTCAGCCAGTGAGGTTTTCTTTTCTTTTTATTTATTCATATAATACATTTAATTAGGAGTCCTGGTGTAGCACTGTGGGTTAATAGGCTAGACTGCAAGGTCGATTTGAACAACAAGGTCGGCTATTCAAGCTCACCAGCCACTCCTCTGAAACCCCATAGAGTGTGGGAACCGACTCAGTGGCACTCAACAACAGTACCTGTAAAAGGAGCCCTGGTGGCACAGTGGCTAACCTGCCTGGCTGCTAGCCAAAAGGGGGTCAGCAGTTGGAACCCACCCGCTGCTCTGCAGGAGAAAGATGTGGCAGTCAGCTTCTGTAAAGATGAACAGCCTTGGAAGGGCCTATGGGGCCGTTCTACTCTGTCCTGTAGAGGTGATGAGTCAGAATCAACTCAGTGACGGTTGGTGTGGTTTGGGTTTATTTCTATAAAACTGCATTATTTTGTCAATCGATATTTACTCAAAAATCTTATGTTTGTGTATGTATGGTGTTAATTGTTAAGTGTTGTAGAGTAAGGGTTCCAACACATAGTGAAACCTAAGAAACCTATGGGTTTCTTAACAGCTGGTGAGCTTGAACTGCTAATTTTACAGTTCAAACTAACTTGCAGTCCAGCGCATTAACCCACAGCGCCACACCAGGACTCTATGCCTGTGAATTGTGGTTGGTAGTGCTGTGGTGTCGGTTCTGACTCATAGTGACCCACCCTGTACAGGGTTTCCAAGGCTGTAAATCTTTATAGGAGCAGAAAGCCTCATCTTTTCTCCCGCGGAACAGCTGGTAGTTTCAAACTGCTGACCGTGCGGTCTGCAGCCCTATTGGTAACCATTACACTACCAGAGCTCCTTTATGCCTGTGATGTTGTTGTTAAGTGTGTATACTAGGTGTTAAATGTAATAATGGTTTGGCATTTGAACTTTGTTTTTCTTTAATATAAAAACAATACTGCCATTAAACATCGTAAATGGTTTATTTTTCTTTTGAATTCTCTTCTTAGGGTAGAATTACTGGGTCAAAGTGTATGAACATTTTTATGGCTCTTGACACAGACTAGCCCTCCAAAGAACTGAATCCAAGTGTATCACCATCAGGAGTGTGAGAATTGGTGCTCCTCTCTCCCCTTGCTATCATTATATTGTTTTTCAAATTGTGTGTGTGAAGTGCTTTAGTGTGATTACTTTTTTGTAAATTACTACAGGTCAGCATCCAGCCTTTCTCACCAGTCCCTGCCTAGGTTGGTTTCTTCAGGTAGTCTACGAACATTGCAGCCAGGCCTGCTCATCCATCCAGTAGTGTCTAATATTAGTGCCCCAGCTCCTGGTAACCACTAGGATCCTCTCCCTCCCTTCCTCATGCCCAGTTACCACAATTGGAATTCAGTTTTGAGGCGTAGTAAAGTTCTCAGTACAGTGACTTACAATACTTATTTTCAAGTAGGTCTACTAATCTTGCCATGGGTTTTGCTGCTGTAATGAGTGAGGGTCTTTGCAATTAACACATTAGTTGGTTTGTAATTAAAACTGTTCCCTCCAGAAGTCTTGTTTTAAACTAGTAATTTCTTAAGCAGAACCGTTCTTCAATGTGCTCGTATGTAGCCAGCCCAACCCACACCTGTTTATCATGAGATCTGACAGGGGTCAGAGTTCCTCAGGTCTCAGGGCAGAAGAAATGATTGCTTGAAAACACCACTTCATGTAAAAGAAGTCTCATTAGCATTCGAAACAGCTCTAGTGAGTGGGCCTCACTCCGTTTAGGCAGCTAAAACAAGGTGGTGAATATCCTAGTCTCTTTGAAGCTAAATGTTCATCTGGAAAAATGTAGGCTCTGGAGCAGATGTATTTTCTTGGAGCACTGGGTAAAACTGAAAAAGAAAAACTTAACAGTTGTCTAAACACTAGCTACAAGGCCACATCAAATGGAAAGCTGGATCCTGTAAGCTTTAGGACAGGAACTGCTCCTTGGTCAAGTTTCCCTCCTAACACCTAGCACATAGTAAAGAGTGTGTTGAATGTGTGAATGCTCTGGATTATCATTTTCTGATAATTGGGTCCAGGAATCTATTGGGAGGAGCCTAAACCTAGAATTTCCCTTTTAGAACATCACAGATCTGCTTCCTTTTGTAGAAGACAGGCTGGATGTGGAAAGAAGTCAGAACAGAGGGCGCAGGCTGACAGAAGGGGATGGTGCATGCTAGTAGCCCATGTCCTGGACACCCTTCCAGGAGCACTGACTGTGGGTGGCTCCACTATACACCACCAGCCTCTGCTGAGTTCAGAGCTAGAACTCCATGCATAAGTGAGGACCTATATAAGGAATTCTTTTGAAGAGCCCTAAGTTAACATGGAGCTGGACCCTGGGCTAAGTCCAGTCACCTAACAGCCTCCTCCATTGCCTCTATGGACCACTGCTGCATTTTCTGACACTGCAGAGAATCCCAGCACCACTGACCTGAGGAACAGGCTCTCTTTGTTTTACATGGGTCCAGGCTTGATGGCCCATCCTGAAGCACTCAGCTGCTGAGCCCTACATTGTGACATTCTTCTAGTGAGCCTTTATGCAGGCCCTTCACATCAGCCACTGCTCCTTCTCTTTGATGAAGTGCTCTGCCCAGCGGCGGGTCAGCTCCAGGTACAGGCTGGACTGGTGAGGCAGGTAGTCTAAGTACAGGCGAGTAGGTGTCTTCTTGGGAATAGCCTTCTCAATCTGGGTGCCCTCGTGCCACTCATTGAAAGAGGTAATGGAGACGATCTCAGGCCTCACTGTCAAGGCCGCTTGCAGGGCTGTCTCATAGTACTTGCCATTGACCCTGTTCCGTGTATTGTGGTTGTTCCAGGGCCGGATGCTGGTATCAATGTAGCCGGGCCCCACGCTGGGAATGAACATGAGGTTGTTGGCGTCACAGAAGTTCTTCACAGCTTTCCAGTTCTGATGGGAGGAGCCGAATGAGAAGCCGTTGGAGGCAAAGTAGGTATACATGCCATCAAAGCCAGCGGCCAGGATGTCGTGGGTGTGCCCCTCCTCTACCAGCAGCGCTATGAAGACCCCATCATAGGGGGTGTTGCGAATTGAGTGGGGCCCACCAGGTGTCAGGAGATGGGCCCAGGCCTCAGGGGATGTCAGGTACGAGTCGTAGATATAAAAGAGGGGGAGGCTCTTACCCATGCTGTTCTTATAGCGGTAAAATGCACCATGGGATCCATACCTTAAGAAGCAGGAGGAAGACAGGCCTGAGCTGGTGGCCCACGATGGGCAAATCCAGCTCAGCTGTAGGGTTAGCCAGGGCTGAGCTTTTTCCTGATGGCAACTGTACAAATTAGGGTCCAGCCAGGCTCCAGAGTTGGACTATCCTGTCTTCAAGAACCTGGTACCCCTTCCCCTCTCCCAGGCTTGTCATGCATTTAGTCAAGTCTTACTTCAAGCCACCACCATTTTCACCTGGACTTGCTGCTAACTGGTCTGTAGCCTTCCTCTCTTGCCTACCTGTCATTCCTTAACCTTTTGCAAACCGGACTGCTGCTTACCGTGATCTGCATGGCCCACGTATTGGATCTGGCCTTGCCTACTACATCCATTTTTGCTATTTGCCCTCCCGTGTTACCACCACCTATACTGGCCTTTCTAGTCCATTGTCATGTCGAGCTTCTTTCCCCTTGTGCCTGGGATTGCTGCTTCCCCCAGATCTTTGCAGAACTGAGATAAGCTCACCTGACCACGCGTTCTAATGGGGTTTCCTGATCTTAACACCCTGCTTTAGTCTTTATTGTTCTTTCATAGTTGGGTGCTGTGGAGTGGATTCCACCTCATAATGAGTCATGTGATAGTAGCACCGTCCCTTAGAGTTTTCTTGGCTGTAATCTTTACAGAAGTGCATCGCCAGGTCTTTATCCTACAGAGCTGCTCCAGCCAACCCTTGCACCATCAGGGCTCCTGTTTTCATAGTATAGATCACTGTTTCATTTTCTCTGTTTTATTGTCTGCGCCACTATACTCCCAACACACACAAGAATGTCAACTGTAAAATCACAAACCTTGTTAGTTTGCCGTATAATTGGGGCTTAGGACAGGGCCTGGGAAGGATTCAAATATTTTTTGAATGATCTGTGCTAGGTATTGAGTAAGCCACTTTCCACTTACGTTACCTCACGTAGCTCCCAAGACCCAAAGGTTAAGATGCTTGCTTTTTACCACAGACTGGCAAGCCACAGAATTGGAATTCAGACCCGGGTTGCCTGACTCCAAGCCCATCGCTTCTCACTGCAAAGCAGTTGCTGAGAACAAGGCATCCTGCCCTGTGTCTCTTGGTCTGCCCCTCCAAACCTATCCCCACCCCTATTTTGATCCCTACCAAAACCCCAGTCCCCAGAGCCACCTTACGTGTCAATGATGTACTTGATGTTTTCATGTAGAGTGATGTCATCCCGGCCCTTGTAGGGCTGGATATGGAAGGCAACCTGCCACAAACAGAGGAGTTACTGGTCAAGGGGTGTCTTTGTAGGGACCACATTCCTGACCTGACTGCTGACATGTAAGTCTCGGCCTCTAAACCATGGCTAGGATGAGAACCTCAGTTTAGGAGGTGGCCTGCCAATGGTAGGCACAAAAGAAATAAGGCAGCTGCTGCCCTTCAAGCCAAAAAGAGGCCATCGTTTGCCCATGTTCCATGGTAGTGCATCTGGTAGTGCAAGATAGTTAATGGGTTTTGGCCTGTGTGCCAGCTCCAAGGGACTATGACTAGGTGTACAAAGCAATGAAAGAAGAGGCTGAGGACCTGTCAGTGGGAAAAGGGGCTGCTGTCTGATACACATACCAGTGACAGACAGGGAGTGAGACTTTTCTCTGTTTTTTCCCTTCACTACAGAAGAGGGCAATAGCTGATTTGATTGGTATGTTTTGGAAAAAAATAACGACATACTTGGTGCTCTCTCCTCTTGAAAGTGAGTCCACCTGTCAAGAGCACGTGCCCCACTCCTGGAGGTAGCACTGCCTCCCACTAGGAAGGGCAGTCTGACGTACATCTGTAGGTCATTTTGCAGGCCTGTTTGATCTCCAACTTACCCTCTGATTCATTAATAAAAGTTGTATTTGGTCTCTATTTTCCTAGATTTGATTTGATTTGATTCTTGAGTTCTCAAGAAAGAAGAACTTGTTAAGTGCTGTCAAGTTGGTTCCGGCTCTTAGCAAGCCTGTAAATCTTTGCAGGAACAGAAAGCCTCATCTTTCCTTCATGGAGCAGCTGGTGGGCTTGAACCGCTGACCTTGTGGTTAGCAGTCCAGTGCTTATCTTACAGAGCTACCGTAGTCGCCATAAATTAATAAAAATTTTATCTGGTCTTCCATTTGTCTTATATTTGGTTTAATTACTTTTTTCAGTACTCAAAGTTAAGAGTGACATTTGTTATTGTGTGTTGTCGAGTCAGTTTCAACTCAGCAACCCTGTATAGGGTTTCCAAAAGCGACTGGTGGGTTTTAACTGCTTACCGTGTGGCTTGTAGTCCAGTGCTTATCCACAGCACTATACCAGAAGTGACATTATTTGTTAAGTGCCGTTGAGTCAGTTCAAACTCACAGCAACTTTGTATAGGGTTTCCAAGGAGCAGCTGGTAAGCTGGAACTGCCAGCCTTGCATTTCACACTGACTTTTGCAGTCCAGTGCATTAACCCACAGTGCCACACCCACCAGGATTCCAGGAGTGACATGTTGTTGCTAAGTGCCATTGAATCGGTTTCAACCCACAGTGACTCTGTTAAGGTTTCCAAGGAGTGACTGGTGAGCTTGAAATGCCGACCTTGAGGTTCACATCAACTTTGCAGTCCAGCGTATTAACCCACAGCACCACACCAGGACTCCCAGGAGTGACATTTGTTGTTAATCATCGAGTCGATTCCGACCCACAGCGACCCTGTATAGGGTTTCCGAGGAGCAGCTGGTGAGCTTGAACCGCCAATCTTGCAGTTCAAGTGGCTTTGCAGTCTGGTGCATTAACCCACAGCACCACACTAGGGCTCCAGTGACATAGACACTATAAGACCCTACCCCAACGCCACATTTGCTAGGTACCATGCCTGGGTTTCTGCCAGGAACTTTGGCAGAGGTTCTAACCCTATGAGCAGAGGAGGGGCCACCATGCGGATAGGCTAGAGAGCATGTGATCTTATGGAGACTCACCTGGATGTTGTACTGATGGGCGGTGTCGAGAATGGCAGGCACCAGGTCATCTGAGGGTTCCCCATTATCATCTGCCATGCCAGGTGGGTACCAAGACAGGACCAGGACACCTGAGACACAACACAGGCAACTTCAGAAACAGAGAATATTCAACAGAGATTATTCCTCTCCTATAATCCATCTCCAACTACAAAGGGAAGATTTCTGAAAACTTAACCTGGCTCTGCTGGGTTCATTTCCTGAAGAACAAGATTCCAGAGCAGCTTGCCTGGAGCTGTCCACGCCAAAGTGCTGAAACCCATAGCTAAGAGAACCTTAGCCATGCAAACAGGGAAGGAGTGGGGCTCCAGGGTGCATTCGTAGAACAAAGAAACGGGATGGACAAAGGCGCACCATCCTGGAAAACAATTCTCTAGAGAAAAGGGGCACCTCTGAGATTCATGGGAGAAGAGTCTTTAGTAGAGGCCATCTTAGTGCTTCTGGTCTGGACTGTTTGCTCCCTCTAGAGTGTAAGATCCTGAGGGATGTCTTTCTTAGACTTTGTTTCTTCCACCTCTACCTCTGGCACTCGGTGGTTGGGTGGTGGGTTTCTCCTAACAAACCATCATCTCTAGATAAGCTGAAATGCGCTGCAAAATCCAGCAGAATTCCTTGGCAGAATTTGAAACAAGTGAACCTTAAATACCCACCCCCCAAATCTGCAAAGGAAGTTCCAAGGGACCTCTCTTTCCAGCCAGGTACTTGAAAAGCTTCTGAGACCCCAAACTGCAAACAGTAGGATCTGTCATACAATGTTGAAAAACTTGGCTCTCTGTGGGCCAAAGTAGGAAGGACTGCTGCCCTGCTCCTACCCCAGACCTCACTTCATTTCAAATCTACAAGCAGACAGGAAGACTGCCTACGTCTCGTGGCTGGCTGGGACAGTTCTGGCGCAAGCTGCCACTGGTCCTCCCTGCAGCTCTGCCCTATGGCAGAGCCCTGGAGTGTGGAAGGTCAGACTGAGCAGGGGAGGGTCTCAATAAGGAAAGGGGACGTGCCCTGTGGTGGGCTCAGGATGAGAGTGGAAGGGAAAGAGTAAGAAACCAGGCCCGGTGGGAATTGGAGGGATGGGGACGGGCGAGGCTGGGGGACTGAACTCACCAATGGCGGCTTCCTTTAGCTGGGTCATGTGCTCCCGCAGCACGTCGGGGTCCCGGGAGCTGTAAGGCCCCAGCTCCGGGTAGAAGCTGGAGCCCAAGTCGTCGGGGGGGATGTGGCGGCCACGAGGGTAGCTGGCAGAGATCTTGGGGTCCCAGTGCGGCACCATGACGTGGTCCCAGTGAATGTAGCGGCCCTCGCGCCGCGGGCTCCCGTACCATGAGTAGTAAAAGGCATGCAGGTCCGAGTAGACGCGCAGACTCGGCCCAGGGGCGGGCTCGGCCTCCGCTGGGGCCGGTTCAGGGGGGCTGCCGG